CACCTGTGCTGCAGGATTTTTTTTGCTGTGGGACACTGACCACCCTAGACCCATTTTTCATATGAAGGCCCACCAGCTTTCCCCCCACTAGATTTTTAGGTCGCTAGAATTTTTGATTCAGTACGTCAAAAACCCCCCCACGCAAAATACAGTACGACGAAAACCCCCAAAGGTTAAAATTTTTTTAATCTCACTCCAAAACTTTTTCTTAAATTTTCAAAAAAAATTTTTTTGATAACAGCTCACCCCCCTCTCTAAATTTTCCTCTTTTTTTCATTGCTTCACCCCTCTCTTAACCTCTTCTTTTTCTCCATTTTACTCCTTTTCCCCCCTTGCATCCATTTACTTTGTAAAAAAATAAATTTAAATCCAAATAAACCCACAAAAAAACCCCTCACAGTGAAAAACATCTACAGAGTTCCACAGTCAAACATTAGCCAATTTAGTCAAAACCTAGGAAGTATGATAACTGATGCACGCATGAACAAAGATCACTTACTACTCTCAGGTGACTTCAATATAAATCTCCTGCAAGACCAGGACCCACACGTTACTGAATTCACAAACACAATGAGTAACTGTATGTTACTACCAACAGTAACAAAACCTACAAGAGTTACAGAGACTAGTGTTTCCCTACTTGACCACATCTGGACCAACACCATATCCCCTTTAAAATCAGGCATAATTACAGATAATACCACAGATCACTACCCTACTTTCCTCATAACAACTCTTGGTAAACTACCCCAAGACACTACTAAAGTCACCTTCAGACTTCACAATGAGGCAGCCATTAATAACTTCACAACAGCAATAGCAAACATTGATTGGCACACTGAGATGAAACCTATACGGATATTGACGAATGTATTAATAATTTTCTAAAAAAAACCCAATACCTCTATAACAAGCACTGCCCTAAAAAAACTAAACAGATGACAGCAAAGAGACTGAACAGTCCCTGGCTAACATCCAGCATTCTCAAATCCATAAATACAAAACACCAATAGAAAAACAGTACAGAATGGGTCACATAACCAGAGACCAAACAAAACGTTACTCGTCAATCCTAACCAGCCTGATAAGAAGGGCAAAAAAATTGTATTATGAGAACAGATTATCCAACTTACGAAGTGATATAAAAAGACCTGGAAACCTATCAGAAATTCTGGGAACAAAAAAGATATCACGAAATAGCGAAATAAAATTAGCAAAATCAGATGAACCCCAACTCCCACCAACAGAAACAGCAAACAGACTCATGATTTCTTCTCCACTATAGGACAAAACCTTGCCAATAAAATCCCAAGCTCAGATACCCACCAAATGACTACTCACCGGCAACTACCCGAACACTCTGTTCCTAGTTCGACTAAACCCATACGAAGTCTCCCTTATTATCAACGCACTAAAAACAAGGCAGGAGATTTAAATACCTTACCACCCTTATATACAAAAAAGTGTCACAATGCTATCACCAATCATTGCAACACTCTTTAACAAATCCATTGAATCCTCCACCTTCCCTACAGTACTCAAAATAGCAAGGGTCACCCCAATCCACAAAGGAGGAGACCAAACAGAGTTGAATAACTATAGGCCAATATCCAACTTACACCCTCTCCAAAAATCTTTGAAAAATTAATTCATAAACGAATCTACTCCTACCTATCTCCCAAAACATACTCAACCCCTGCCAATTTGGATTCAGGCCTAATAAAAATATAATGATGCTATTATACACATGCTAGAACATATACACTGCAATAGAGAAAAAAGAAGTCCACTGGGGATCTTCATTGACTTACGTAAAGCTTTTGATACAGTTGACCATGACTTGCTCCACGTAAAATTGTCACACTATGGTATAAGAGGGCACTCCCTCAACTACCTCAAGTCATACCTCAGCAACAGAAGCCAATATGTGTACGCAAATGGGGCAAACTCTTCTGCGCAACCAATTTACAGTGGTAGTCCCACAGGGAAGTGTCCTTGGCCCTCTTCTCTTTCTCCTATACATAAATGACCTTCCAAATGCTTCGCAATTACTCAAACCACACTATTTGCAGATGACACTACATACGTCTTCTCTCACCGAGCCCAGTCACGCTAGCCAATACTGTAAATACCGAATTACAGAAATATATCTACCTGGATGAGGACTAACAAACTTACACTAAACATTGACAAAACCTACTTCATTCAGTTGGTAACAGAGCTACAGATGTCCCTCTTAACATAATGATAAATGGATCACCTATCACAAAACTAACAGAGGGAAAATTCTTAGGAATCCACCTTGATAATAGACTCAAATTTCATACACATATACAACAAATTTCTAAGAAAATTTCCAAGACTGTAGGCATACTATCGAAGATACGGTACTATGTTCCACAGTCAGCCCTCCTGGCCCTTTATCACTCTCTTATTTACCCCTATCTCACCTATGGAATTTGTGCATGGGGCTCAACAACAATTAACCATCTCAGACCACTAATTATCAAAAAAAGGGGCTGCAGTTAGAATGATAACAAATTCTCACTACAGGCAGCACACTCCACCAATATTCAATACACTAAACCTACTCACCATAAAAACATCCATACTTATTACTGCACCTATTACATACATAGAACACTTAACTCTGATATTAACCCTCCCCTCAAACATCTCCTTACCAACCTCAACAGAACACATGACCATAACACAAGGCACAGATCACTCTTTGATGTTCCTCGTGTCCATCTCACACTATGCAAAAACTCAATGCACATAAAAGGCCCTAAAATCTGGAATTCATTACCTGTAAATATAAAAGAAACACTACCTGTTTATAAATTCAAGTCTCTTCTCAAAGATCACTTACTCACCCAAAACCAAATAAATACTGAATAACTGACCTTATAAATTGTATATCTTAAATGTTTCTCACAATTATATCACATAAATGTTAAACCTAAAACAGAATCTAACTTTATTATTTTTTTTAAATGCACTACCTAATAGAATCACTACCTAACTGAATGCAACCATATGACCTGTCTTTGTAATACTCACTTGTGCTTTATAGTAATCTGTTTACATTAATGTTTTATCACTGATTTCATCATTGCTTAGTTAATCTTAAGTTAATTTTAAGCCAGCCCGTAATGCTATGCATAGTATAAGTGGCTTTGGCATGCTGCTCTTATCTGTATTTTTTTGTACCTCTGTATGTGTTCTCAAATTAAAATAAATAAATAAATAAATAAATTATTATTACAATATAAATAATTTGTAATTTTTATTCACACAAAAAAATATAAAATTTACTGTTATGCCTCATTGCAATAATTGTATAAATAATATCAACCCATTCACGACTGCATATTGGAATGGACAGTGACGTCATTTGTTTACTCTTGAACATAGCCAAAACAATTGAACATTTCTCTTACGTTGAGCTCAGTTTCAAGGTACTTTTCATCGTGAAAGCAATCAAAATCATATCTATTTCTGTAATGTATCTTTCATTCTATCAAATGAGACCAAAGAAACGAGAGTACAACCATAAAAACCATACAAAAATACCGCTAAGGGTGGCTACTTACTGAGAAGTGAACTCCATTATTTATGCTTAGATTTCTTTCATTTTTGGTGTACATTAAGAAGCATCTTTCCATCATACATTGCCCAAGTTTCAATAAGATAGTCCAATAAACAAATGAGATACAATTCCCTAGATCAAGAGCAAGAGCCCCTCACCAGCGTCAAGGAGCCTGCCTTGAGGTCTCCTCGCTTATGGAAATTTTGCTCATGTATTGAAGCAAAAAATCGACCCATTGACTGCTTGTATTTGGAAAAACTCGCACGTGGATGCGCTCACAAGTAAAGGTTCTGCTGTACTCTGATAATTATACTTATGTGTACCTGTACCTAAATAAACGTACACATAGTGCTGGCATGCAGGTACACATTAAAATCACTAAAAGTGTCTCACTCATCTTGACGCCATAATAATACATAATGATAATAATACTCGTACTGGGGTACATTAAATATCATATATTACGTTAATACAGACATTTTCATTAATCCATCTATGATATGTTTTTCAAAAATACATAAGAAACATGCTACATAACATAAAAACATGATATATACAACCAGAGTAGAATAAATTTACATAAATGAGATGTGGTTACCAAGTGGCTTGTAGGAGGGACAGAAAGAATTTGGTTTTGTCTAGTTCTACACCAGAGAAAATGTGTACAAAATGGTATTACTGGGGGTAACTGGAGAAAATTATTCCTTTTGTATTCCTTCACTGGTAACTATTTATTCTACTGCACTAACATGAATACAACTTGTACACAATGTAACTGTGTTTGTATTGTGGGGTAAACGCTTTGCAGACTCGTGCCACTGTATGTGTTCGAACTAAAACTGAACTGGTATTAATACATGTTTTGTCTGACCCAGTGACTGCTTCCAGTTGTCTGACCTCCATGTTAGTAAGTTTATTTAGGTACAGGTACACAAAAATACAGTTACCTAAATTATCTGTTAAACCTAAATTATCATACCAAAATTATCTGTTAAACCCATACTGAACAGAAGTACCAACCACTCCAACACTATATCCCCCTCCCCCTGCTTTTAACATTTCTGTCATGATCCCAGTACCTCCAACTCCTTATCTACTTACTCCCCTATTTTGTTTTTAACTGTCAAATCCATTCATTCCCTAGGCTTTCTTAACCTATTTATCTCCAAATTTTTTTCTTGTTCACTGCAAAATTTGACAGTGTCTCACTCACTCTATCATTTGCTCTCCTTTCGCACTCCCTCACCACCCTCTTCACTTCCTTTACTCTATATACCCACCCTTCTTATATCACTAATGTAATAATCTCTCATATGCAACCTTTTTCTGTTTTATTTTACCCTTTGTCTCATCATTCCACCAATCACTTATTATTATTATATGTTGCTTATCAAGTGTTTCTTTTCAGTATTGGGAATGTTTACGAGAAAAATTGGAGAAGCTTCAAGTTTGTAATCCACAACTTGTGACAGCAAATAATGAGGTTGCATCAGACTGTGAGTATCCAGATGGTCAGGAGTGCACTGTGACAAACAGCAACTGCACCTTCAGGAGTTGCTTAGAGAAAGTGGTAGGAATGGAAAGAGTTGTGAGCGGAGAGAGTCATCATGGGTCAGAGAGTGAAGAAGTTCATGGCCCCGTAAAGAGAAAGGAATTGTCTCTAGAGGATGTGTTCGTGCATGTAACATTTTATGCCAGTGATATGCATGAAAGAAATAAAACTCTGGTAAAAGAGGAGCTGCAGTGTTTGCCAAATAATTGCTATGATAATAGTACAAAGTCATGGGATAATATTAACAAAGAACCTTCGTTATCCCGCAGACTTCCTGTTGGTAGTCATACTTTCAAAATTTCAGATAATTTACATATGGTTTATGATAATGGACAAAGTGCAACAGTGGGTGAGAGAACTACAGTTTCTTCAGGAATAAGTAAAGAATTTAATCATAGCTCTTTGACAAAGAAAGTAGTAGGTAAAATGTATGATGAAGATAAGAGTGCTGCACTTGAGAGCACTGTCAGTGATATTAAAATGGAAATTAATGAATGCAAATTTGACAGAGGAAATAATGATGCACATAATGAAGAGTACACTGATGATGTAATAATTTCAGAAACTATTGAAGGAATCAAAAAAAGTAATGAATATGAAGAAAAAATATATGTGAATGAGAGTAATGGAAAGTTAGGAGAAAAGGAAGAAGGAGATGGTTCATCATCTCCGCCTCCTGCCATGTGCCAACCCTGTAGAGTTTTGAGTGTTATTCCTGAGGGGGTAGAAAGCTATTCCTGAAGATGCACTCTGTCATTTAAGATATTACTTCCTTATTAACATTGCTTGTGTTTTTACGAGTAGATGATAGAAGATGAGCATATTTTTCTAGGGCTTGATAAGAAGTAGAAGTCAGTTTGTTCTTGAAAGGAAGGCATACAAAAAAAAAATTCCTGTTGCGTGTTTCTTGCTAAAAATAAGTTTCTTTGTCCAGATATGGTAAACACTGTAAAATATTTTACACTTTTATTTAGTAAGACACTGTAAATTTATATTTCTGGCTTCTCTGCTCAAGCTCATGCATTTTATCTAACTGGGTTACCTAACTTGCAGAGTGGTGCCCATATTTGTTTTGTAGCCGTGTTCATTATAAAGTGGATAATTAATTCTCTTGATTTATCTTGAATTTAGACAAGCTGATTTTCAGCATTACTTACCAGATGTTTTTAAGTAACAAAGAGCAGGAGAGAGAACTTGCTATAAATTAGTTACTTGGAGAACCAATAATTGCTACTCAAGACGTAAAACTGAATTCATGAACATAGGAAGAGTCATTCACTGCTGCTTTTTGTGAAAATATGCAATTATGAGATTGTGGTGTTATTTACCTGGACAAACATTGTTGTACACATGACAAAAAAATGATTAAATTGGGAGCAACAGCTTACCATTCCTTTCACCGGAGAGCAAAGCTGTGTGAGTGTATATGTGGCGGTGATTTCACGCATTGACCGGGGAAATATAACGTCCTTTAGGAATCAGGAAGAGCCAGATGGGAGAGTGGTGGAGGTGTATGAGGCACTAGGTAAAATGAAGGACAGTAAAGCAAATGGGATTGATGAGATCATGAGAGAAATGTTTAAAGAAGGTGGAGATATAATTTTGGAGTGCTTGGTATTTTTGTTCAGTAAATGTATGAAAGAGGGGATGGTACCAAGGGATTGGCAGAGAGCATGCATAGTTCTTTTGTATAAAGGGAAAGGAGACAAAAGAGATTGTAAAAATTATAGGGGAATAAGTTTACCGAGTATACCAGGTAAAGTGTATGGTAGGGTTATTATTGAAAGAATTAAGAGGTAAGACAGAGCAGGATTGCAGATGAGCAAGGAGGCTTTAGAGTGGGTAGGGGATTTGTAGATCAAGTGTTTACATTGAAGCATATATGTGAACAGTATTTGGATAAAGGTAGGGAAGTTTTCATTGCATTTACGGATTTAGAAAAGGCATATAATAAAGTGGATAGGGGAGCAATGTGGCATCAATAAATATATTAAGCAACCATGGTTAATATTTTTATTTATATTTACATTTACAACCCATCAATAAATATATTAAACAACCATGGTTGTTTAATATATTTATTGATGGGTTGTAAAAGAAGTAAATGCTAGGGTATTGGGGAGAGGGGTGGGATTAAATTATGGTGAATCAAGTACAAATTGGGAGTTGACACAGTTACTTTTTGCTGATGATACTGTGCTTATGGGTGATTCTAAAGAAAAATTGCAAAGGTTAGTGGACGAGTTTGGGAGGGTATGTAAAAGTAGAAAGTTGAAAGTGAACGTAGATAAGAGTAAGGTGATGAGGGTATGAAATGATTTAAATAAAGAAAAATTGGATATCACATTGGAGAGGAGTATGGAAGAAGTGAATGTTTTCAGATATTTGGGAGTTGACGTGTCAGCGGATGGTTTTATGAATGATGAGGTTAACCATAGAATTGATGAGGAAAAAAAGGTGAGTGGTGCGTTGAGGTGTATGTGGAGACAAAAAACGTTATCATTGGAGGCAAAGAAGGAATGTATGAAAGTATAGTGGTACCAACACTCTTATATGGGTGTGAAGCTTGGGTTGTAAATGCTTGGAGGCAGTGGAGATGTTGTGTCTAAGGGCAATGTGTGGTGTAAATATTAGGAAGAGAATTTAAAGTGTGGAAATTAGGAGAAGGTGTGAAGTTAATAAAAGTATTTGCAAGAGGGCTGAAGAGGGGTTGTTGAGGTGGTTTGGTCATTTAGAGAGAATGGATCAAAATAGAATGACACGGAGAGCGTATAAATCTGTAGGGTAAGGAAGGCGGGGTAGGGGTCATCTTTGAAAAGGTTGGAGAGAGGGGGTAAAGGAGGTTTTGTGGGTGAGAGGCTTGGACTTCCAGCAAGCGTGCATGAGTGTGTTAGGAGTGAATGGAGATGAATGGATTTTGGGACTGATGAGCTGTTGGAGTGTGAGCAGGGTAATATTTAGTGAAGGGATTCAGGGAAACCGATTATTTTTATATAGCCAGACTTGAGTACTGGAAATGGAAAGTACAATTCCTGCACTTTAAAGGAGGGTTTTGGGATATTGACAGTTCGGAGGGATGTGCAATAGGACGGTACAGAGCCACACTGTGAGATCCATCATTGGGGCCCTGATGGTCACTTTTTATATTATATCTTTATATATGCTTCTAAACTGTCGTATAATGAAAAAAACTAGGCGTCTCTGGAAAAACAGTGATTAGGTATGAGTGAGGTGAAAGTGTTGAATGATGATGAAAGTATTTTCGTTTTGGGGATTTTCTTTCTTTTTGGATCACCCTGTCTAAGTGGGAGATAGCCGACCACAGAAAATGTAATGTAATGTCCCTCCGCCCGGCTACCACGTGAGTCCACAAGTATTATTATCAGACCATGTATAAAATATGCAATAAATGCCAGACATCAAGTTTACACTAACTTATATTAAGTTAGCAATAGAAATAGCCATTAAAAACACAATAAAATGTAAGATACACACAGAGTACACTTATTACTTACCTTAAAATATTAATATTAATGTGTGAGAGGTGAGTGTCAGGGTGTTTATTGAATAAAATCAGAATGGCACACCATCATCCTCTAACTTGGCACTAAAGAGGGGCCTGACACTTCGCCGCGCGGAGTAAAAAAAAAATTGAAAAAATACGAAAATTGAGTTAGTTACCAAAAAATAGCTGAACTTTCTGGCTACACTCTGGTATAATTATTATCTTTATACGATGTTTCTAAAAGGAATTATAGTCATTTATAACAGGCATGGTGACTGCCTTGCGTAACAAGCGCTGACGCGGCATTCCCCCCCCCCCCCCCCGTGTTATTTTTATTGTTTTCTTATGTCTTTATGTCTAATATAATACAAATTCACCGTCTGAGATCATGGCAGAGTGGGCGGAGCTAATATGGTCAAGGGACCAATCAGGATCCTCCCCTGGGAATAGTGCCCAAGATGGCCGACACCACCAGCCAACAAAATATTCCATACCCACACTAATATCAATTATAAGGCTTATTTACCTATCACAATTGATCTAATATGACATAGGGCGATGTAATAATAACATAGAAACATAAAAAGTACAACAGAAGAAAATAATATACATGTATAGCATAATATGACGGCCGAGAAGCGAAAAAATTCTAGCGATATATCCCATGAAGGTGAAAGACCGATTCTCTCGTCACTGTGATGAGAGAAAACGGAGATTTACAATGGTTAACTGTAATAAACACTCGTAGGTCATGGAAAGTGTAAACCAAAGCGAATTTTTCGGGGAAAAAAAAATTCCCCGGGCACCTCGGGTGCCATGCGCTGTGGCCTATATCTCGGAAGTAAGTTATTTACCTATTTATGGACCCACCATCCTTATTTATGAATGAATTGACTTGATTTTCACAACAAACATAGAAGAATGATTGCTTTACAAAAAACTTATGTTCCTTTCTGAAGTATCCCAAATATTTTTAGATTTGTGTGGGCAACAAGACCGACATCTTCAACAATATCAAAAAAGTTATGAAACTTTATTTTTTTTTAGCATGAAGGTAAGATTTATTTTAGAATTCGAACATGATTTTTGATGGAATTAGAAGTGTTCTATCAGCAGCAAGTGTCAAAACCACTTTTCCAAGTACCACTGAGTAATTGAATACTGCCAAATGTAATTTTTCGTAAATTTTGCATATTTCATTTCCTTTTTGGCCGATATGTTTGAAACTTCAGCACAGCATGCTCGATATAAGCTTCTAATAGTACACCAAAAATGAATGTAATCAGTTGAAAAATAAAGACGTCGAGATCAAAGGGTTACCATCCTCTTTTTATCACAGCTAAGCTTAGACGCCATTGTCAATGAGAGCCAACAAGTTAACGAAAGAGTAAACGAGAGCAGGTAGTGGGTGATCACTTGGTCAGGCAATATAAATGCATATTAATATGTGTATACTTTTAGCTCATTCACATACATTTGTAAGAGTTTGTAAAACTTTTACCTCAAAATATTTTTTTTTTATTTTTTTTTTTATCACACTGGCCGATTCCCACCAAGGCAGGGTGGCCCGAAAAAGAAAAACTTTCACCATCATTCACTCCATCACTGTCTTGCCAGAAGGGTGCTTTACACTACAGTTTTTAAACTGCAACATTAACACCCCTCCTTCAGAGTGCAGGCACTGTACTTCCCATCTCCAGGACTCAAGTCCGGCCTGCCGGTTTCCCTGAACCCCTTCATAAATGTTACACACTCACGCATGCCTGCTGGAAGTCCAAGCCCCTCGCACACAAAACCTCCTTTACCCCCTCCCTCCAATCTTTCCTAGGCCGACCCCTACCCCGCCTTCCTTCCACTACAGACTGATACACTCTTGAAGTCATACTGTTTCGCTCCATTCTCTCCACATGTCCGAACCACCTCAACAACCCTTCCTCAGCCCTCTGGACAACAGTTTTGGTAATCCCGCACCTCCTCCTAACTTCCAAACTACGAATTCTCTGCATTATATTCACACCACACATTGCTCTCAGACATGACATCTCCATTGCCTCCAGCCTTCTCCTCGCTGCAACATTCATCTCCCATGCTTCACACCCATATAAGAGCGTTGGTAAAACTATACTCTCATACATTCCCCTCTTTGCCTCCAAGGACAAAGTTCTTTGTCTCCACAAACTCCTAAGTGCACCACTCACCCTTTTCCCCTCATCAATTCTATGATTCACCTCATCTTTCATAGACCCATCCGCTGACACGTCCACTCCCAAATATCTGAATACATTCACCTCCTCCATACTCTCTCCCTCCAATCTGATATCCAATCTTTCATCACCTAATCTTTTTGTTATCCTCATAACCTTACTCTTTCCTGTATTCACTTTCAATTTTCTTCTTTTGCACACCCTACCAAATTTCATCCACCAATCTCTGCAACTTCTCTTCAGAATCTCCCAAGAGCACAGTGTCATCAGCAAAGAGCAACTGTGACAACTCCCACTTTGTGTGATTCTTTATCTTTTAACTCCACGCCTCTTGCCAAGACCCTCGCATTTACTTCTCTTACAACCCCATCTATAAATATATTAAACAACCACGGTGACATCACACATCCTTGTCTAAGGCCTACTTTTACTGGGAAATAATTTCCCTCTTTCCTACATACTCTAACTTGAGCCTCACTATCCTCGTAAAAACTCTTCACTGCTTTCAGTAACCTACCTCCTACACCATACACCTGCAACATCTGCCACATTGCCCCCCTATCCACCCTGTCATATGCCTTTTCCAAATCCATAAATGCCACAAAGACCTCTTTAGCCTTATCTAAATACTGTTCACTTATATGTTTCACTGTAAACACCTGGTCCACACACCCCCTACCTTTCCTAAAGCCTCCTTGTTCATCTGCTATCCTATTCTCCGTCTGACTCTTAATTCTTTCAATAATAACTACCATACACTTTACCAGGTATACTCAACAGACTTATCCCCCTATAATTTTTGCACTCTCTTTTATCCCCTTTGCCTTTATGCAAAGGAACTATGCATGCTCTCTGCTAATCCCTAGGTACCTTACCCTTTTCCATACATTTATTAAATAATTGCACCAACCACTCCAAAACTATATTCCCACCTGCTTTTAACATTTCTATCTATCCCATCAATCCCGGCTGCCTTACCCCCTTTCATTTTACCTACTGCCTCACGAACTTCCCCCACACTCACAACTGGCTCTTCCTCACTCCTACAAGATGTTGTTCCTCCTTGCCCTATACACGAAATCACAGCTTCCCTATCTTCATCATAGTAATAATTATCTCACAATACAAATACTCTTACATTATGTACAAGTTGTGCAAGTTAGTACAGAATAAATAAACAGCAAAACTCCCATTCTCTTGCAGCACATGTTTAGAGTGAATGAAAATGATATTATTATTATTATCATAATAAAAAAAGTGCTAAACCCACAAGGGTCATGAATTGCTATATATAAAGTGAAGGCATACGAAAGGAATATTTTTGTACAATTATCCCCCAGTGTTTGACTAGAGAAAACGTAATTCTTCCGACACTACCTATACAGCCTCTATGTAAACAATCTCATATTTACGTAAATTTTTATTTTGAGTGTATGTATCACATTTATGTGCTATGTAACGTGTTTCTTATATAATTTTGAGGAAAATATCATAGATGGATTAATGAAAATGTGTATATTAATGTAAAATAAGACATTTAATGTGCCCAAGGGTGATTATCATTACGTAGTATTGGCGTCATGAGTAGAGAGACTCTTAGTGATTTTAATATATACATGCACACCAGCACAGTGTGTAAGTATATATAGGTACAGGTACACATAAATATAATTATCAAAGTACATATAAATATGCAATAACTTTAAAACACTTGAAATTTTGGAAAGTTTCCAGACATAATAGATGTGCTTACGGAGAATGTAAAGACACCGGGTGGGACGCACCATATTTGAAAGACTGCTTGCTGTATAGCATATTTTGGTCACAATTTGACATTGCCGTATTAGCAGAATGCCGTAAGGCGAAACGCCGTAAAGCGGGGAGTATGGAAGAAGTGAATGTTTTCAGATATTTGGGAGTTGACGTGTCAGCGGATGGATTTATGAAGGATGAGGTTAACCATAGAATTGATGAGGAAAAAAAGGTGAGTGGTGCAGTGAGGTATATGTGGAGACAAAAAAATGTTATCTATGGAGGCAAAGAAGGGAATGTATGAAAGTATAGTAGTACCAACACTCTTATATGGGTGTGAAGCTTGGGTGGTAAATGCAACAGCGAGGAGACGGTTGGAGGCAGTGGAGATGTCCTGTCTAAGGGCAATGTGTGGTGTAAATATTATGCAGAAAATTCGGAGTGTGGAAATTAGGAAAAGGTGTGGAGTTAATAAAAGTATTAGTCAGAGAGCAGAAGAGGGGTTGTTGAGGTGGTTTGGTCATTTAGAGAGAATGGATCAAAGTAGAATGACATGGAAAGCATATAAATCTATAGGGGAAGGAAGGCGAGGTAGGGGTCGTCCTCGAAAGGGTTGGAGAGAGGGGGTAAAGGAGGTTTTGTGGGCGAGGGGCTTGGACTCCCAGCAAGCGTGCATGAGCGTGTTAGATAGGAGTGAATGGAGATGAATGGTACTTGGGACCTAACGATCTGTTGGAGTGTGAGCAGGGTAATATTTAGTGAAGGGATTCAGGGAAACCGGTTATTTTCATATAGTCGGACTTGAGTCATGGAAGTGGGAAGTACAGTGCCTGCACTTTAAAGGAGGGGTTTGGGATATTGGCAGTTTGGAAGGATATGTTGTGTATCTTTATACATATATGCTTCTAAATGTTGTATTCTGAGCACCTCGGCAAAAACAGTGATAATGTGTAAGTGTGGTGAAAGTGTTGAATGATGATGAAAGCATTTTTTTTTGGGGATTTTCTTTCTTTTTGGGTCACCCTGCCTCGGTTGGAGATGGCCGACTTGTTGAAAAAAAAAAAAAAAAATTATATATATATATATATATATTTATATATATATATATATATATTTTATATATATTATATATATTATATATATATATACACACACACACACACACACACACACACACACACAAAACACACACCACACACATACCACACACACACACACACACACACCTACCTACCATCCGACTTACGACCAAGTTCGGCTCCGAGAAACCGGTCGTAAGTCGAAATGGTCGTAAGTCGAACTTTACTACTAAATATCAACAAAACATTTTTGTAATGACTTTATTTTATTGTTTTATTTTGGTATTTCATGTTTTACTTTACTTTTTATGCAGTAAGTACTGTATTTTATACTGTAAGGTTTAGGATAAACACTGTGTACAACACAAATAGTTGTTTATTTCACAGAAATTTGGCATAAAAAACACGGTCGTAAGTCGAGTGGTCGTAAGTTGAGCAGGTCGTAAGTCGGATGGTAGGTGTATACGTATATATATTTTTTTTTTTTATTATCACACTGGCCGATTCCCACCAAGGCAGGGTGGCCCGAAAAAGAAAAACTTTCACCATCATTCACTCCATCACTGTCTTGCCAGAAGGGTGCTTTACACTACAGTTTTTAAACTGCAACATTAACACCCCTCCTTCAGAGTGCAGGCACTGTATTCCCATCTCCAGGACTCAAGTCCGGCCTGCCGGTTTCCCTGAATCCCTTCATAAATGTTACTTTGCTCACACTCCAACAGCACGTCAAGTATTAAAAACCATTTGTCTCCATTCACTCCTATCAAACACGCTCACGCATGCTGCTGGAAGTCAAGCCTCGCACACAAAACTCCTTTACCCCCTCCCTCCAACCCTTCCTAGGCCGACCCCTACCCCGCCTTCCTTCCACTACAGACTGATACACTCTTGAAGTCATTCTGTTTCGCTCCATTCTCTCTACATGTCCGAACCACCTCAACAACCCTTCCTCAGCCCTCTGGACAACAGTTTTGGTAATCCCGCACCTCCTCCTAACTTCCAAACTACGAATTCTCTGCATTATATTCACACCACACATTTCCCTCAGACATGACATCTCCACTGCCTCCAGCCTTCTCCTCGACTAACGCTATTAATCCGTTCCTGAGAGCTCATTGTTAGTCAAAATTATCGTTAGTCAAGTTAATTTTCCCCATAAGAAATAATGGAAATCAAATTAATCCGTGCAGGACACCCCAAAGTATGAAAAAAAAAAATTGTTTTTACCACATGAAATATTAATTTTAATACACACAAACTGAAGAAGACACGCACAGTTACACGACACTTACCTTTATTGAAGATCTGGTGATGATTGATGGGATGGGAGGACATTGTTTTTCCTGAACACACTGGGAGTTTCAGAGTGATACACCAATACAGGCTTCACTTTGCAATCACCACTAGCGTTAGCACAGAATAAAAGAGTAAGCCTGTCTTTCATAGGCTTATGTCCTGGGAGTGCCTTTTCCTCCTGAGTAATGTAGGTCCTGCTTGGCATTTTCTTCCAAAACAGGCCTGTTTGTATGTTTGGATGGGACCGTGGTGGCTGGCTGGCTTGTAAACACTGGCACCCATGGGACGAGTGAGGCGCGCTCAGGCCAAAGTGGACGTGTCTCGAACGGAACGAATAGCGTTGGTCGGGTTTTTTAGCGCTAGTCGAGGCAAATTTTTGCGTTAAAATGTATCGCTATTCGGATTTAACGTACAGCTGCTGCTGTACCATGGTCAGCTGCTGCTGCACCACCATCAGCTGCTGCTACACCACCATCAGTGCTGCTGCACCACCGTCAGCTGTACTACTTGAAGATGTGGAGAGACTGTTGTTGGTGTGGCTTAACGAGAAACAATTACCGAGAAACAACCCCAGAGGGTTAACCACCCAGGATAACCCAAGAAAGTCTGTGCATCATCGTGGACTGTCTAACTTATTTCCATTGGGGTCCTTAACCCCTTGACTGTCGCAACCCCAAATCCTGAGGTGTCTCCTGGTGTTGCAAAAATCCCCCCCCCCCCAAAAAAAAAAAAAAATTCTTGTGAAATGATAGAGAATCTTTTCCTGATTGTACTGACACCAAAAGAACGAAATTTGATGGAAAACTGACGGAATTACGCTCTCGCAAAGTTAGCGACCTTGGCAATATTTACGAATCGGCTATTTCGCCCACTTTGAGCCCTATTTTCAGCTGATTCCATTGTTCCAGTCGACCAAACTCATAGCTATTTCTTTAGAACTCCATTTTTTCTATCAATTGAGT